GACAGCAGTACTATCCCACGCTGCTCCTAGGATGTCCGGGACAATCTAAGAAATAATGATAAACTTCATATGTGATGGGAGAGGCCCCCGCCTGACACACGGAGCTGCCAGGCACATGAAAGAAACAATATAAACTTGATTTAAATGTGGGATCTTTTCCAGAAGGCTTAATTATCTATTGTATTACCACATTCCTATTATTCAGCAGTCTCTTCTGTCTCAGACTCACGTCTAACTACAATATTTGTTTGGAACAAATTCAGGGAAAACTCAAAAGAAACCAGATCATAAGGGTCTCAACTAAAAGGAACAGCAGTTATATAAATAGAAGTCCCCTGGGTTGGAAAAATATTTTGGTTGTCTGCTAACCTTCAGGAATGCTGGAATCCAATTTTTAAATACCCATACCTATAAACATACTAATATCTTTTATATGACATAATTTAGCTTCATCTAGTTTATAAATGTTAGCATCCCACAGTAATTAACAAAAATAGAAAAACATTTCATGGACAATGAAGGGCACCTCCAATTCTTAATTTCTGAATGCTCATAAATCAGTTTTCTACATTCCAACCCTAAATGCTTATTTGTTCAGGATGATCAGAAGATAAATTATTCCCAAGACTGTTACAGTGTGTGAGATGAACGTTCAATAAAATACCCCAGAAGTCTTCAAACAAACGACTGTGTGTTGATGACGCCATTGTCAAAAAAATTTTTTTTTGCCAAGTTACACAAAGTTGGTGTTGGACATCATGAAGTGAAGCCTGTAAGAGCCAGAACTCAACTGGACTGCCTTGTTCTTCCAGGTCTTACAAGTGTCCGTATTTGACAGGGTGCAGCCTTACCACTTTTCTATCATTTCTTGTGAAAAAAAAAAAAAAAACCTTGAGTCTTCCTTCTCTGACAGGTTTCCACCTTCTATGGTTCCTACTTTCACAGGTGTCATTATGGTTGATAGCCTGGAATTTCTACTTTTTTATGAACTGCCTGAAACCTCAGATAAGCAGCTAATAACTCAAATGCAAAACTGCCCATCAGCCACAAATGCACATTCAAAGGGCTAAATAAATACGATAAATCCTCCTTGCTAATATTATATTTGTGACCATCATAGAAGACTGTATATTGGCTGTATATTTGAATGTGGAGAAATATTGTTTGATCTTTGTCAATTTTGGAAACAAGGGCACTGCCCAAATAATTCTTTTTTTATTAATTGCTCTATAATTTATCATCATCATTGTCCTATCACCTAACTTCAGTCTCATTTTCCTTTCCATTAACCCTGTCTAGATCGCACGTTTTAAAAAGGAGCCACTAAAAGAGACTATTTTTACAAATATATTTGTTATGGGAAGAAATATACTATGGTAGTATCTGCCCACATCTTGCTCCCTGTATCTGTTTCATTGGTTGGTTGGTTGGTTATGTGCCGTGGAGTCGGTTCCAACTCACAGCGACCCTGTACAGGGTTTCCAAGGCTGTAAATCTTTATGGGAGCAGAAAGCCTCATCTTTCTCCCACAGAACAGCTGGTAGTTTTGAACTGCTGACCTTGCAGTTCACAGCCCAATTTGTAACCACTACGCTACTGTTGCTCAAAGTTGAATTGTAACCCCCTGGAAGACAAAGATCTGCTCATTCTAGATGTTGCTATTGTTGCTAAATGCCTTTGAGTCAATTCTGACTCATGTTGTTGTTGTTAGGTGCCATCGAGTCGGTACCGACTCATAGTGACCCTATGCACAACAGAACGAAACACTGCCCAGTCCTGGGCCAACCTCACAATTGTTGCCACACCAACTCATAGTGATCCCGTATAAGGCTTCCAAGGAGCAGCTGGTGGGTTTCAACCTCAGATCTTGTGGTTTGCAGTCCAGTGCTGATTCTACAGAGTCACAGACAGCTTTTGCTTAATACCTGTCCTGCACTCCAAGTAAAGGAGGCGTTTGAAAGATACTTGATGGTAAGGGTGACACAGATGGAAACGGTTCTAGGCTATAAGGCTACTGAAGTAAGCCTTTTTCTCACTTCATGGCCCAGTGCTCAGAGTGCTTTGCAATAAAGCACTGGACCACAAGATCAGTTTGAGCCACAGTGTGCTAGAGTCAGAAGCAACTCAACGACATTCAACAACAAAAAACAACGGTGCAGTGCTCAGTAAAAGCAGGTTGTAATCAAAGGATTATCCTGAGTCCTGGTGCAGATCTGTAGTATCAGCATTAGATTGCTAACACATGGTCAGCAGTTCAACCCCACCAGCAGTTCCTCAGAAACCCTATACTAGGTCCTTTTGAGTCAAGACCTACTCCATGGCAGTTAGAAACAATTAAAAATGAACAAACAAAAAGTCTCTCCTTTCTCTCCTACAGTCATTACCATGCAGACAAATACATTGTTATTGTTGTTAAGTGCCACTGAGTTGTTTCCGACTCATAATGACTCTCTATATAGGGTTTGAACCACCAATCTTGAGGTTAGTCCAGTGCTTAGTCCATATCATCACACCAGGAGTCCATGTTGTTGTTGTTAAGTGCTGTGAAGTCAGTTCAGACTCAGAGCGACCCTGTATAGGATTTCTAAGGAGCGGCTGGTGAATTTGAACCACCAACCTTGCGGTTCAAACCAACCTTGGGGTCCAGTGCTTTATCTGACAGCACCACAGGTCATGGGGGCAGAGGAGGAATAATAGTCTTCTAAAAAATAATTGTGGAGCAGTGCTGGTATTGTGTCATGAGATTAGTACAATTAACTCGACTTTATACACTCATGTTTCCAGAAAAATACATGAAAATGAAAACGTAAACCTTCACAACAGATTAACAGCAACACCTCTCTGACTAACGTAGTAGCTCAGACCCCTCTAGAAAATCTTTCTGGTTCTGGTCAACAGCTGGCAAGTTGATCCCTGTCATTTTCCCTTTGCAGAAGTAGCTTTGTGAGGGGAGAACTGACCCTCCTAGGCTAATAAGCCCAAACCTCCCAGAACCTGGAGTGCTGAAATGGAAGGGACATTGTTGTGTTAAGTACTTTACAACAACTGTTTCTTCTCCTCTTGACACAGTCAGACTTCCTTAAAGAAGATCTGACTGGCCAGACAGCTGTGTTGACCCTTAAGCCTTCTTTGATTTGTGATTTTTTTTTTTTTTTAACAAACAGAATAGAAATGCACAACCCAAATCCTTCCCTAAGCTCCAATACTTTTGAATTTGCTAGTGTTCTGCTTGAAGGATGTGGACATTTCGGTAATCTATAAGCAGAAAGATAAAGACTGGGCCCACACAATACCAAAAGCTTTATGTGAGAAGCAAGAGGGGGAAAGGGGGAGAGCAATCAACAAGAAGCCTTCTCTAAGGGTGATACTTGAAATTGTGTAGGCAAAATCTGGTCAATTACCTAAAAATTACAGTTTTCATTCAGATATTGTGGCAACCAAGAGCAGAGACAGGCATGTTGTTTTTAAGTGCCACCAAGTGGGTTCCAACTCACAGCGATGCTGTATAGTTTCCAAGGAGCAGCTGGTGGATTTGAACAGTCCACTTTCAGTTCAAACCAACTTTGGGATCCAGTGCATTATCCTGCAGCGCCGCACCAGAACAGGCACAACTTTGCTCAAAAACGTTTGTGAAGGAGTTATACAGAGTTTTTACTTCTTTATATATTTCTGCATTGCCAACTCATCTAAAATTGAGCATGCATTGGAAATTATTTCATTCTCTAAAATGGGACAGCAACAACAAAAACCCCCATATAGGAGGAATATTCAACCATTCTATGGAAAAGGAACACAAAGTAAACTAAAGAATCTGTGGGTGTGTGGTCAGTAGGTCTAATCATTTGATCAATTTTGGTATCCCTCATAGCTCAAGCAATATGGATCTTTTTGTTCTTTCTTAATGCTTTTTGTTAAATTGACACCTCCCCAGCTCACCCCTTTTCACTGTGGTTTTTAATAACATGTAAAGAACTGTTTTTTACGTTAAATCTCCTTTCATTATCCTTACAGAATGCTCCCCTCACCACAGGGTCACATATATCAGTCCTAGTATACAAAAGACTAGGCCTTCCTTAACGTGGCTTTCCTCTCCCTGAAAATCCCCCATAGCCCAGCCAAGCCAATATCTATAATTAGTCATTTTCATAAGGAAAAGCAATTCCCTCTCCTTATATCCTGAGTTCCTCCGCTATTTACTTGGCAAGAACTAGGAAATCCCTTCAACCCCTCATGCCTAGTCTCACCCAGGCTTTAAGCAATACAGAAACCACGATTCGAATCGTCTACTCTTGTAAGTGGCTGCCATACCTGCCTCCCAATTCTCAAAACGCACGAATTCGACCTCAGGGAACGGAATCATGCAGCGTGGAAGAACTGCAAACCCACACAAGACACCCGACATGTAGGATGGAGAAGGGGGCGTCAGGTCAGGTCAGGTCCTAACTTATGTCCTAACAGTCCCTGCGACCGGGAATTTGGAAGAACTCTGAGGTAAGGGAAGCAGCCCTGTTTTGTTGTGAAAGGGAAGGCAAAACTTGAGTGCCTGCAGCTCAGAGGGAAGGTCAGAGGCGCCATTTCCAAGCCGATTCTGTTCTAACTCCAGTCGACAAACCCAGGCGCAAAAATGCGTGCAGAGGACCGAAGCCGTGGGGTCTATACAGCCTCACAGCCCGGCACACGCCAAGAGACAGGGGCCAGTTGCGATCCACCGAGCACTCAGAAAAACGGGGGAATGGCTGTCGGGGAAGGGAGCTGAAAACTAGGAGGGCACACCATGGAGGACAGCAATAACGCGTGCTTCTGCGGAGCGCGCACCCTGGTTGAGCGCACTGGCGCGGATTTCTGGGGCCCTTCGGGTAAAAAGGAGACGATGAAAAATGACCACATCTCTAGGACGACGCCTCTTGCGCTTTCAAAAGCGGATGTGGGTAAGGAGGTAAAAAGTGTCTGGCGCAAGCTGATGCCAGTGCGTGGGGTCGTTTGGGCGGCGAGACACTTACTTTTCGTAGTCATACTTGCAGTAGAGCTTCTTGTCTCGGTAGAAGCAGGTGGTCTCCAGGGACTCTTTGCAGGAGGCGCACCTCACGCACTGTTCATGCCAGAAGCTGTCGTTGAGTCTCAGCAGAAACCTGTCCGAGATGACCCGCTGACAGCCCTCGCAGACAGACTTGGGGCTCACCGCTCTGCCTGCAGCCGCAACAGACGTATGATGGTGAGCGGGACCGTCCCCAAATCACAGCTAAACAGGTCCCGACTAGCTCCTGATCCCTCTACACCCAAGAACCGCACGCCACCCCCGCACTGCGCTGCCCCCTCCTATCCCAGCGAGTCCCCTGTTAATCAACCAAGACAAAACTTGGAGAGCAGAGAAAAATCAAGCCGAGTAAAGCTTTCAATAAACCTTTCAATTGTGGGAAAGGTTTAAGCCCTAGTGGGAGAGGAAGCGGAAATCAATAAGTGGCCTTTAATTATCAAATATACCCAGGTAAGCGCGGAAACGTGCGCGCGGTCCGCAAAATTATGAGGACAAATAAATTTGCGCTCCAGGTTTATGGCATTGTAATTCATCATTAAATCACTCATTATGCTTGTCTCTGTGGACTATTACTAAAATTATGAGGGAGTCAAATGACATTGTGGTTCTTTTGTTAAAATCCAATTTTGCTCTATTTCTTGAAGGGTAACTTGGTATCTTTTTTTCTTCCTAAAAAGTCCTTTGCGTGAGAAAAAATTGTACCCGTCTCTCCCATCGCAAACTTAACTGTTGCTGAAACCAGTGGACCTCAAACTGCTGTGTCGGCTGGTGTGCAAATTGAAAATGTTTTGTTGTTGTTTTGGCTGGAGTTTTTTCATAATTAAGAAAAGCCACAAGATAAAGGAAGTGGGAGGGAGGATAGGGGAAAGATTCAAAGCACTGAGACTCCACGGAGAGTTCTGGCCAGTGTTCCCAGCATCGTATCAACGCGTTCAGCAGCCCTTCAAGGGGACGAAATCGATCCCAAAAGGATCAAAAAAAAGGCAATGCACTTAGTACTTAAGATTTTTCGCTGTTACATTCCTTTGGTTTGGGGGGTAGTTTTCTTGCTGTTGTTGTTTAAGAGGGCCCTTAGCCGCTTTTGTGGGCACGTTTCACAGTTATTTAAGGAAGACCCTGTCCCCTGTAACAACACATTTGAATGTGGTTTTCCAAAGGGTCTGATCCTCCTCCCTGGCTAAGTTCCTTGTTATACGAGGACAAGCTCAGGATCCGGGCTGAAGGCTTTGGGATGTGGGCAGGAGTGTGCCTAGGGAAAGCAGTGAGATCGTTCTGAATTTAAAAAGTCCCTTTCTTTCTGCCAGGTCTCGGCGTCCGGGTCTAGGACCCCAGCGTCGGGAGAGGATGTGGGGTGCCGGCCCAGCATGCAGGAAGCATGCGGTCTGTGTGTATTAATTAGAGAGCGCTCGGCGCCCAAGCAACGCCTGCTCTGGTCCCCGCGCCCTTCCGAGGCTGGACAGAATCGCGATGTTCCCTAAAGTAGAAGTGAAAAACTGAAAGGGGGGCACATAGTGTGTGTCATTTCGTTTCATCTGGGGGTAGGGGAGAGGCGTATTCCTCTCCGGATCTGGTTTTTCCAGCCCGACTGTCTAGTCTTTTGCCTTCACCCCGCTCTAGCGGTTCCAAGTGAGGAAGCAAGAGGCTTAAATGACAAAACGAAAATCTCTCCTTCTAAAGAAATTAAAATGAAACACTAGTTCCCCAGGCTTGCAACCACTCTGGGGGACTAGGCAGTTCAAGCAATAATCTTTGGCCCCTGCTCTGAGAGACTCGCGTATGGACTTTACTAGGACCTTTGGGTTGTCTCTCCTCTGCAGTCGCGGAAAATGAGTGGGGATGGGGGGGGGGGGCGGGGAACCTGCCGGACCCCCGGATCCGGCTTCAGTTAATTAAAACGGAGGCGAGGGCCCCGCCGAGGGGGCTAATCCCCGCGCTGTGCTGCCCACCGGCCCGGAAAAGCCTATCGGCCGTGCCCGAAGCTAAAATTGGGGCTGGAATTGGTGGGGGCGAGAAACTGCCTCGAACTTGGGCGCTTCAAGCCTCGAGTCTCGGATTCTCGCCCTTGGGCGGCGGGACGAGGGCGTCATTTATGAGACGTCTATCAACTCTGTGTTTAAAAACCCAGTCTTGGGTATTTTTCATCACTTGCCACTCAGATGCCTGCAACCAAGCTCGCCTGCCCCTCGCTACTTTGGGGAACTCGGTGCCGGACGCGTGAAGTGGAGGCGGCTAGTTGGTTTGGGCTAGGGAAGCTAACCCACGGGGACAGAGGGACAGAGGTGTAGAGAGAGTGGGCTCAACTGAATGCATGAAGTGAAGCACTAACTCTCCCACTGCCGTTCCGGTCCCAGTGAGCTGGACTCCCAGGCACAAGACCTGGCAGAAGGAAGGTACGCCTGGGGCGCATGGCCTGAACGCTCACCCAACAGCGAGGAGAAGGAGGCCGAGGTCTCGATGGCGCTTTGGAAGTTTTCCTCCATCTTCAGGCCGTCCAACATGGTCAGGTCGAGCTGGGTGGACCTGCTGTAGAGAAGAAACGACTCGTCTGGCGTCCGTGCCCCCTGGGACGCGGCGCCCGAAGCCGCCACACTCCTGGGAAAGGACAAAGGGAGTGTCCAGAACGACCAGAATGAGCCAGGAGAGTAGAGTCCAGTCAAGAGAAACGTGGGGTGGGGAAAGAGACAAGTCACGGAGAACTGCTCTGACTGATCTGATTTCACTCGAAGTCAACGCGTTATGTACTTAGGCCTCCGCCCCCAACTGCGTTTGTCCTTCCCCAGCCACCTCCCCCTCCTGCCCCTAGGCCCCAGGTTTCCTATCCCGAGTCCGACTCCGCCCCAACCTACACTTAATGTGAGCCCCAGAGACGTCTTTGCGGGAACAGATACTAGGGTATGAGGATTAAAGGAATAAGTGTTTTTCCTCGCTGGGCCAGGCCCAGTCAGCAGGACCACAGGGCCCGTAGCACGCTCCCCAGATATCCCCGAGGCGGCCCTCACCTGCCCGAACGGGGCGGGACAGAGTAAGCGACTCCAAGAAAGTCCCACTGGCTCCGAGACTCCAAGCGTGCGCTCAGCTAGCTGGGAGCCGCGCGGCGGCGTGCAGGGCGCGCGGGGAGGTCCGCTCGCCGGTCGGCCGGTGTCGGGAATGTTTGCAGAAGCAAAGGATTCGCCTCGCGGTGGAGCCGCGGCTGGCCGAGCTCACTGTTGGATGCATTTCAAATCAACTTTCAGAAACACGCACGCCTAAACCAGATCCTAAGAATGGGCAGCCTTCCTTACCTGCAGGCGAGCTCGTTCCCCGCTGCAGAAGCAGAGTGAAGTTGCCGACGCCGCGGGAAGCTGCGGCCGAGGAGGCGTCTGTCCGCGACGAGGCAGTCGGAGCGGCCGCCCCAGGCTCAGGCGCACCCAGGAGGGAGCCCAGACGAGCGCCGTCCCCGGGCTCCGCTTCTCTGCGCGCCCGGGCCGAGCCGGGACGTGGCCGCGAGCGCCCAGCCTTCTCGGGACGTCCCGCTCGCCGGTATCGCTTCTCAGGGGAGGGGGAGGCCAGATACCTCTCCAAGACTAGGACGGAAGGCTGGGGCCCGGAGTCCTGGGTGCGAGTTGGGCCCTGCTTCGTTCGGCCGGATCCAGCTGCTTCTAACTCGAGCCGCGGCGCTGCGTGCGCGGCAGAGGGAAGGGGGTGGGGTGCGCAGAAGGGGGGCTGGGAGCGCGTCCCGTGGCGGCGCCGCGACTCGCCCTCTCGGAGTAGAGCTGGGCGGCCCACCTCACTGCCGCCGCCGGTGCTTTCCTCCGCCGCTGCAACGTCCCGGCCACGCAAAGTTTCCTCCCTTCCACGTGTAACTGCTAACTCGCGGCACGCTGGCCCAGCCGCCGTCCGTGGCTCCGCGCCCCTGCTGGGTCGCAATCGAGGTGTCCGCGCCACCTGGATCGCGGCGCCAGCACGCTCCTTGTCCCACAGCTCTCCAACCACCGAAAGTGATGAAAGCACTGGAATCCTCACACCCGTCAGGGCCGCGCCAAGAAGCCGCTTGCCAGGAGAAGTTTTCCGGTCCACCAGTTAAGAGCTCCTCAAACCCCTTCTCCATCACCTGGGGCTCCCGCAAGTTCCCAGCTTCCCGCGTTTTAGATCAAAACTGCGTTTTAAATGGTTCGCCAATAGGGTGTGCATATGCCATAGAACCCATGGCCAAGACTTAAACCGGGCTACTACTGGTAGAGATTACATGAGCTCTGACCTCCAGTCGATGAGCCCACAATGGCACTGAAGTCAGCTAAGGGGATTGTCTTAGGGCAACAAAGTAACTGGGGGAAATGTTAACTCTTCATACCTCTAACTTTGGTTGCAATGACAGACATTCAATTCCTCCAGAGCTAGAGGCACCATGGCAGTCTTAACAATCCGTGTATCCCAGAAGAATGGTGCCTGACCCCAAAAGTAAATGCTCAATAAATAAAAGATAACACTGGCCCAACATTTATTTCCTGCCAGGCTTGGTTCCGTAGTTAACTCTTTACCACAATCCTGTAAGATGGGCACAATATTACAGGTGAGGAAAAACGAGCCCATATCAGGTCACCTCAATACAACAGAAAAGATTCAATTCAATCGGATTCCCAGGAGGCCCCATCTTACTCCTCAACTGAGCAGGATTGAAATTAGCAGGTACTTTAGCGAAATTAACCCAAGCAGAGGGGATGTCACATAGCAAACATTTTCTCTTACCTTCTTCCAGGACAGGACATATTTCTTTTTAAAAGAAAAAGCGTTGGCAGCAAATTGCTCCAATTCGCTTTATTTAGGAGCATGACCTCACTCACCATTCTAAGTGCTTTCCATGAGCAAGCACAAGTCAAACAAACACTCAATATGACTTCAGAAGAACAAGGGAAAAGGGCAAAGAGTTTAATACTTTACATTTGTATGTTGCTTTATACTTTCAGGATACTTTCACATACTTGATTTTGCTTGATCTTTACAACAAACTTGTGAGGTAGGCAGAACAAATAGTTTGATCCATTGTTTAAGATGAATCTTTGGGGCTTAGAGCAGCTTGGAGATTTGTCCAATGTTGCCTAGCTGGCTGGTGGCATGTCTCTTGACACATGTTCTTTGTCCTTTTTGCCGTTGCGGGTAGAGCAAGGTGTGAAAGAAAATATAAATTTACAAGTATTCTTAAGATTATATAAAATGGAAGTGAGGCAAGAAAAATAGAATAGGGCAAATACAACCATAAGGAATTTTTTTTTTTAATGCCCAGATGACTTTTGAATTCTCTACAGGTCTTGAATTTATGAAATTTGTTTCACTAGTACTAAATATGTTTAACTAGAAGCCAGGATGGCAAGACTTTGTCTCCTGTACTAAGGACATTTTATCAGGAGAGGAAAATCATGCTTGGTAAAATAAAGGGTCAGCGGAAAAAGAAGAAGACCTCCAATGCGATGGCTTGACACAGTAGCTGCAACAATGGACTAAAACATATAAACAATTGTGGGATGGCAGAGGACTGGGTAGTGCTAAGTTCTGTTGTATATAGATTGTTGTGTATAAGTTGATCCAACTCAATGACTCCACTACATCATTTAACAAGTGTTAAGAGCATTCCTTTTAAAGAAAAGCCTTAATGGGGATAGATTTTCATTTGACCTGGGGCCCAAATCTTTCAAACAGCCTTTGGATCTGGCAGAGTACACAAGTTTCGGGAGGTAACTTCTCTTGACAACCATTCCTAGAAGCCCTGGTGGCACAATGGCTAAATGCTTGGCTGCTAGCTGAATATTTAAATGTTGGAGGTTTGAACCTATCCAACAGCTAAATAAGGAAGACCGTAGAAGAATTGATGCTTTTGAGTTATGGTGTTGGAGGGAGAAGATTGAAAGTGCCATGGGCTGCCAAAAGAACCAATAGATTCTTTTTGGAAGAAGTGCGGCCAGAGTGCTCCTTGGAGGGCAAGATGACCAAACTTCATCTCTCATACTTCAGACATATTGTCCAGAGGGACCAGTCACTGGAGAAAGATATCATGTTTGGTAAGGTGGAGGGTCATAGAAAAAGAGGAAGACCCCCAACGAGATGGATTAGCCAAGACAGCATTGATGGACTCAGGCGTGGCAACAGTGGTGAGGTTGGCTCAAGATCGGGCAGTGTTTCCTTCTGCTGTGCGTATGGCACCTAACAACAACAACAACAGCTCCACAGGAGAAAGGCCTCATGAATTTCTCCTGTAAAGCTTATAGCCTAGGAAACCGTATGGGGAAATTCTGTTCTGTCACATGGGGTTGCTATGGGTGGACACCAACTCAATGCGTCTAATACAACATCATCACTACCCTTAGCACAGAGCCAGACACATATATGTGATTAACAAATTTCATGACCTTGAGTGATGGATGAACAGAGTTCTCACTGTAGAAGGAGGTACCACAGTGAAAAAGAAAGTCATTTGAGTCAGGAATCAATGGACCTTCCACTTCTTTCTTAGCCCTGCTTTTGAGTCAATCGGGCCATCAGTTCACTCTTCTGAGTTTCAGTACTTCCTCTCTGGAATGAAGGGGCAGTCTGCTTCTATGGAGACTTGCAGTTGTGGAAACTCTTCTCTGTCCTGTAGGGTTGCCCTGAGTTGAAATCAACTGGACGGCAACATGTTATTTAGGCTTTAAGACTCTTCAGAGCCTAAAGTTTGTGAAATTAGACCAGCTTTGGAGTGAAGTGAGAAGTAAAGGCACCAAATTCTCCATAGATGATTTGCAGTATTTGTCTAGGTGCACACTTGAATGATGGGTCCAAGTGATGCCTCTATACCAATAAAGTACAACTTATTTATTTGGAGTTTTGTCTTTTATGAATTCTTTTAACCTCTTCCAACGACTTGAGAAACAAGAATCCCACTCCTGCCCGACTGTTATTCCAGTGTTTGGTTAAATCGGTGGCATGATGGATGGATGGGCAGAAAGATAACCACCCTGATCTATCCATGAAAGATCCTCATAACAATTCCATTTTAGACATGAATGGCTAGTATCTTCCCTTTAAGATTCCATAGAGCCAAAGTCCAGGAGTCCTTTACAAAGCAAAGCCATTTTATCAAAAATCTCCCTTTTATGATAAAGAAGTACTTTCCTTTGTGAATTTGTGCTTGTGAGGTAAACAGGTAAGTGGCTCCAGAAAAGAACTCCCATTTTACAACATGTTTAGAGTCGGAAGTGACCTTATGGTTCCTCTGGTCTAACTATCTAGTTTATGTTGTTGTTGTTGTTGTTGTTGTTGCTATTGAGTCGGTTCTGACTCATAGCAACTATAGGGTATCCCAGCAGCGGCTGGTGAGATTGAATCGCCAACCTTGTGGTTCAAACCCACCTAAACCATTAACCTGCAGCACCACTGGTCAAAATTCACTTCCCTAGCACTTCCTCCCACTGGCCCAGTGATTCCCCTCCTGGCCAGCCATTCCAAATGTCAAATCCTACATCCAAGGCCTTTTCTATGTTGGGCAGAGCTGCCCTCACCATCCTGTCCACTTTTCTCT